AGACCTTAAATTTCATTTCAGAGACTTCTGAATCAGAGAAAACTTATTAGAGAGAACTTAGACACCTCTATTTTCAGAATATCCAAATAAAATTTCTCCAAGAGCAATCTCAAATGCATGCTGGAAGAAGTGTTAAAATTCAGGATGACGATGACAGTAAAGGCAAAGAGAGCTTGGAGAAAGCAACTGGAAGAGGATGAAAAGAGCCATTTGCCCCTTCTGCTAGAAGTGTGTTTCACATATGCTAGTTTCTAGGGAGAAAGCACTAATCCCGTATACAGAGGCCACCTCAGCTGCTCCCCTCTTCATCAGAACCATTCATATCAAAAGTTCCTCTAAGGACAGTTTTTGCCAACCAGCTGTTCCCCTCTCATTGTAGGAAGTCACCTCCCTTGCTCTTTGGCTTCCTGGACCTCCAGAGGAGATATGAATAGCCTTGTGCTAATGATACCCTAACAGTGATACCACGAGAGGTGAACCCACTCAAGAGAAATTACTGCATGCTGGGTAACTTGGTCTACCAACCACCTTCTCAAGCAGTACAGCCTTAAGAACATTCTCTAATGTGTAGAATGTTCTACTCTCTAATATGTAGAATGTTTGGTTCTAAGTGTAAGAACCAAATTTGAGTACACAAGCTACAAAGTTTTCATTTTTATCAAAGAGCATATATTTTCCCGAGCATGTTACTATCTGTTGAACACACATGAAACAGTCTAACAGCAGATTACATACATTTTTACATAATGGATCTACTGTAGTAACCAATGACAGTTATGCAACAATAAGCACAGAAGATCAGTCAACTGCACATCACCACCGAATTCTGAAAAGCGCCACACACACAGCAGCGTATTTCACCTGCACTTCATAATGTGCTTCTTTGCTTTCCTGATTTAGCTACTGTCCTGTTCCAGAAAAACACGCTGGAGTATATCTGATATATCCTTGCCATTACCTGTTCAGTTGAACATTTCTTGGCTACTGGGAAAAAAAAAAAAAATCAAAGTGAAGAAAATGCTAGTATTTTCCTTTAAAATCATATGAAAAACTTCTGCTTATTCTTATGGCTTGTCAAGCTATAACTTAACTCAATTCTAGTAAAGAGCAACTCTGCTTATAAAAACGCTCTATACAAACTTAATTCTGTACATTCAACTCCATCTATCTTGCTGCAGTGGCAAAAGCTTAAACTTCTGCAAATATGAAGAATCAGCACAAGTGCTCTGACCTATGGTATATATTATGCTTCATAATGCATGCAACATTCCAATTATTTACATTGAGGCAGAAGCATCAGATTGTGGAAATCAACGATAAATAATGAAGCATGAAGTTGCCATTTCAGGTCGTAGTTCCTTACTACTGATGAGGTTATAAAGGAGGACAAACAATTCTGTGTTTTCATTACTCCAAGTTGCTTCTGTGAGACTGACAGTAAGCAGAGCGAATTCTGTGTATGCAGAAGTTACTCAAAGACAGGGAACTGGGGATTTTCCAGATCTGCATGTCCAATGGAAAAAAGCTAGCCTTAGCTTTATATCACTTAGATGAAACAGAATATTGGCTTGATTTCTGAAAATTATATGACGGTCAAGCAAATTTACCTCCTGCAGAATCGGGAAGTTTTACTACAAAAGGGTCAAAGTTTGATAAATCTTGAGTTTATTTTTCTTTCAAAAAATACTACTTCGGCAGCATGTGTAATATAGGTTAATAATAACATTAAACCCAGAAAACCTAAACTTTCTAGACTCATTTAGCAATAGGATGCATCGGACAAATTTTAGATCACAGAGCTGAGATACTGCTTGCCTCCATTATTTAAAATTAACTTTTATCCAGGAGCTGTGGAACTAATCTGGGCTTGATGTTAAACTGCAAACACAGCCAAGAGGCATGAACTAGGAAAACGCTTATTATCCGTTTTCCTGTACAAGCACAAGAAAGATTCACCTTTTTCTGAAGGCCCACACCCTGGTCCAATACGCTTGCAAACATGTCTGGGCAGCTTCAGCACTCACTGAAATTAATACTCTCAAGAATAGCTGTGGAGCAATTAATATAACAAGAATGTTTTAATTGTGCATATCTGTGACTTTCTGTTAAACTGACCTCAAGTCTGCACTATTAAACTTCAATGACTGTGTTCTGCTGTTAAATAAATTCAGATCTGTACCTTATACTAGGTTAAGCTTACTGTCATCATTAACTCATTATTTTAAATAGAGGTCATTTCAGGTAGAATTTGCCTAGTTCACACAGGAAGGTTAGATGCTGAACAGTCACTCCAGCACTGCATGCAGTAGAAACATCGCTGTCTTAGTGACCACGATATATTGCTTCTGCAGGAATTGAATGTCCTCCACGCTGTGTGCTCAGCACTGAGAGGGGGTATACCCAGTTTCTTTGTTTCCCTATTCTATGCATCATGGGCACGGCTTTGGGGAGCCTGCAGAGAAACTACTCACTCACCTGCTGCCCTCTCCTCTGCCTTTTCCATTGGCTAGCCAAAGCTGTTAGGAAGTGTTTATGGAGGAAGCAAATCCCCACACTACAATGCTGGCACTCAAAAAACATGTGTACAGCAAGATTTTCTGACAACTTGCAGACTAAGCACAACCTCACCAAACAGACTTGGGCTTTGTTCCTTTGAAGTCTGACTAGCTGTTTCCAAGCAGATTTCCTCAAAATAACGGTATTGTTTATTCTTGCCAATTCCATACTCATGAAGAAAGGAATGAAAAAGAAAAAGACAACTGTGCTGCTGGTATGGAAATGCTTTGAGCGGGGGATGGACTAGATGACCTACGTCCTTCAGTAAGTCAATGCAACAGCACCCACGTGCTGTGAATGAATTAGAGCTTGGAGATCCCAATAATGGATTTCTCCTTCCTCAACAATCCCAAACCCAAAAACTTGTCTGTATGAAGGCAAGCACAATAGACCCTCTGCTACAGGTAGGGTCCTAATGCAGAAGATCTGTACTTTCCAGCACCTGCCTCTCATAGTCCACGCATATCCACAACTACCGTGGTGTGTTTGTTTCGCAAAGTTTGGCAAAGAGGACAAAAGAGGCTCAGTGAGCCACAGAATTATGATTTGAGCACGTAAAAGGAGGTTGGACTTGAAAACGCATTTAGCCCACACTTGTTCCAGGATGATGGCCAGCCAGCAAGTACAACAGGATGTGCTTCACACTAGATTACACAACTGACACAAAATAAAGGGGCTTTACAGCGTTTTGTGAGAGTTTGCAGAGGCGGTAGCAGCCTGACAGTGTTATGGCCCAGAACAGTGAAAGAACATGCAGGAATTCATGCTAGCTGCAGAGGCAGCAGTTGTCATCCTGTATCAGAACAGCAGTGTCCCAAGTTTCAGGTGCATCTGACAGAATCAGGTTCAGTCTCAGCATTTTTATTGAATGTATACTAATAGCATGTGAATGGACACTGATGGTCACTGCCAAAATTTAGCCCAGCTTCAGGCAGCACACAGAACAGAAGGGTAGAGATAGGGTTTGTTCCTTGTTCTCTTCATAGAATTTCTGTGTTTTAGTGTAGTACCAATCACATGGCTTTTTGTTCCTTCTCATATATCCATTTAACAGAGACTAAAAAGAGATCCATATTTCAGCATCTGATCTCTAAGGCTCCCTGAGTTTCTGTCTCTCCCACTACTCGGAGTGAGGGTGAGCAGAATTCAGATGTCTGCACCACTTCAGCTAGCTACCCAGCAACGCATAGTATGGGATTAGAAACAAATTCCAACTCCAGAGCACGCAGCCACAAAGGTTGTGTGCCAGCATTTAAACAAAGAGGTGAGAACCTGTCAGCAAGACCCTGGCACAGAAATCAGGCACACAGTAAAGGGGTATAAAGGTCAATTTGTAGACCTAGGGATTGACAGAAAGTGCAGAAAGCAGCCTGGAAAAGCAACTGGAGGATGGCAAAAATAATACACAGCACAACTACAGTCACACAAAGAGCAGAAGGCAGTAAAGTTACATAAAGGTAATACAATAAAAACAATAAGCAATATTTTTTTATCTAACAGAAGGAAAAACTATAATTTTTGTCCTTTATTGTATAGAAAGGTATTATGTAATACAACGCGGTTTTCCACCATGCACCTACAAAAGTTAATACTGCATAAACCCTCATAATCCCAAAATGAAATCTCAGTCAGTTGTAATCACAAAGATGCTATCACCTTGTATGTCACTGTCTTAAAAAAAAAGTTTTGCAGGCCAGACATGCACCCTTTCAGACATGTTCACATGTCTGAAAACATGTACTAACGTACTCCCTCTGCCCAACACTGCAGTATCTCAAACTCTTCTACAGATTCTCAAGATACTTTAAGGAATTCACTGCAGCGACCAGCGTCTAACGTACAGAACAGCATGTTACAGTAACAAAAGCTTGTTTCTTGTAGATATTTATTACATTACCAAACTAATTTAACTGGAATTTTTTTTCCATGCAGACCTTTTTTTCTGTGCCTTTAAAATACAGAATATGCATTTGGACTGTAAATTGCACACGATTCTATTCCACAGTTTAGTAACTGAAGTGATATGAAAGTAAGCATATTTATTTAAATACTTAACAAAAAGTCTGCGTTCTCAGAATGTATGATTTATCAGTGGGCCTCACTGTCAGAAAGTGTAATTGAGACCAGGGCAGATAACATTTAAAAATAAAAGTCAAAACCCACAAATACATACCTTGTACACTGCACAATTCCAGGACAATGTCTGGGTTTATTTTACTAATACAAATCAGGAAATTGCCTTGATAGGTGAATTATTAGACAGTTGTTTGTTAGAAGACTTCTTAAGACTTCCTCGGAGATTAGTCTTCACAGAGCACATATCAAACAGGTCCTCTACAGTGCAAGTGTTTCTCTATTCTTCCCTTAAATGCAATCTGCTTTTCTGCTTTTATTAATTTTATCGAAAATAAAACTAATATATACTTCTAAAATTAAATACTTACAGTGAAAATACCCATTAGCTGAGTGTAAAAGAGTCCACTTATTTCACCTAATATTATTAGACCCATGACGGCAGATATTCTTAGGAGAGCAAGTTCATGTCTAAATACAAAAACATCCTAGAACAAGACAAAAAGAAGAGAGAGACTTTAGCACTTACAAATTAATTTAAGTCTTTGAACCGAATGGAAATACTATGTAAGAGATGTTCCCAAAGACTTACAGCTAAAAGCAAATATTGCATTTTTGAGCTACACTGATACATTTGTGCTAATATTATAAACAAATAATCTTTTATTTATACATCTAAACAGTCGGGCGGGGGAGGGGGGAGGGGGGGGGATTGCCAGACCATAAAAAACCTCATTCAGGTATTTAAGGTTTGGGAATACACTGATGTCAAATGGGTTATTCCTGAATCTTCCATCTCAGACTGTGTGAGATTGCTACACACAAGCTCCAGAACATAAGAAAACCATTCTGTTAAGCAACCCGATTTATAATACCCTTATATCTCAGCTCCCAGCCACAGCAGATTTCATTTTAACATTATCTCCTTTGTAATAAGAATAAAAACATTCCTAGCTTGACTCTTGAAGATAGTACCTACAAAATCCAAATGTCTGCACTGTATTGGTCTCACTGTCACAGTGTCTATTATCCAACATAAACTTACCTTAACCTTTAAAATTTTAGCCTTAAGTGGATTATTTTAATTTTGGATTGGCTGCATAACCAAGGTGCCTCAGGGTACAGAGGGGTATGAATTTACTGTATCAGCTGCTCTGGAAAGCCTGCTCTCACTGAGCAGAAAATATGAAAAGTGTAAGAGTTTTATAGATCTTTTTCATAGGATAAAACATCTTATTTTTATCACAGGCAAACATCTGTACATGGCACTTTCTGTAGATGTACTGCAAGTTCACACCCCACCTCGCTCTTTGATAATGAGTTAACACACCCATTCTCTTACACGGTTATGTTCTCAAGGTTGTCTTTTGAATGTACACATCTGTTTTCCCACTTAGAAAAGCCAGATCACAGCAGGAAACTATTAAAACCTTTCAAGTAAACTTTAAATTACAACCAGAACATAAAAGTGAACTGAATGAAAAAAAAAAAAAAACCCAAAAACCCACAACACAAAACCCAAAAGCAGTGTTTTGTTTTGAACTTTCATTCTTTATGTTCAACCAATAGAACACAAGGAAGAGGAATTCTTAGATTCAGGAATCTTGGGTTTTAATTAAACAGAGAACAGTTAAAGCAAATTATATTCAGTAAAAAGTCTGACTTTTAGATTTAAATTATTTCCATGAATGTTCAAAATATAAACCCGGGGAAAAAGTCTATACTGGCTAGTAAAGCTGTGAAGAAAGTCAGTATTTAATGAACAAGTAGAAATCACCAGTTAACCAGCTAAAACAAAAGGGAAACTCTACCAATCTTTTCTAAACAGGTAAGCCAGATCTTGTATTGGTCTTTCTTGCTGCTGTAGAAAATACCTGCTTTGTTTCCTTTGTTTTTTTTACATTCTTACTCAGTTAATGAGTTAATTCAAAGTTAAATGACCCAAAATAAAAACATTCATACTAATCTTTATTTCCTTTTTCACTAGCCCATTAAAGCTTTAAAGAAAAGCAAGTAAGACACAAGTTCTACTACCTGTAAAATACTTTCTCTTCATATCTTCATAGGTATGTTGTTTTAATGTATCAGAAATGTTTTAACCTATTCGAACTTGACAGAAAACAGTGAAATGTAAGAGAAGAGTGCCAACAGTGAAGTCACATTCTGGATCTAACATCACACTTCCCCATTAGAAAAATGTTTATAACACAGTTCTTAGCATCCCCCCCAGCACTGATTTGAAGAAATCCTTCTCTTGAGCACATCTTCAACAGGAAGAAGAGAAATCACCCGACAGACAACAGAACACCCTAGCATAAAGAAGGCAGACTGCGTTTTGCCCTTCTAACCCATGTTAAAACTGGAGGTACAGAAAAGGAAAGACCTTTTGTGCTGAAGTGAAGACCAAGGAATACTGCTTCTTTGTCTTTCCTTCCTTCCTTCCTTCCCCCGTAAAAGATGACATCATCTACTAGAGAAGACTGGGGTTGCTGAATTACTAGTGAGAAGAGGTGACATCACCAATGTTTTTACCAGTCATTACACAACCCTAGGGGAATCAAAGTCTCTGAAGTAATGATGACCTGGAAGTCGATACTGGGCCTTTATCTATCAATCTGTACAATCAGAACAGCATTCTTTTGTAGAAAACCAGAGTATATGCAGGAATAGAGCCTTTTAGTAATCAGCCCTTAATAACAGAGCTACTTTCACCATACTGCTTTGAAACAGAAACATGTGACTCCACGAAAATAGAAAAAAGAGACCATTAAAAAACTCCATTTAAATCACAGTAATAATAATTATACATTTAGAACACTGCTGCTCAATCCCATTTGTTTTTATTATTCCTTCTCAGAACTGACAAACATTTTTCCCAGCTAACAAAATGAATCAAAACAACAATAAATCAACCTCCAAGACTAGTCAATAATTAATCAATCCCTCTTTCAATGTATTTTGAACAGATCCTCTTGTTCAAACACCATGTAGGGCTCACCAACCTCAGTGCAGTGTGAGTACTGAGACAGCCTGCCCTTCAGGTAGCTCTTTTCTCCTCTTTCTCAACATCACAGCCTAACTGCTCTGTCAAAACTTCAGTTCATACGGGTTGCTACCCCCATCTTTCTAGCTAGCATTTCCTACACAGCTCAGATGTGTATCCCTGCCAGTTGTAAAGGCTTTCAAGTTCCCTCTAGCCACTACTTCTACCTGTCCTGTCTAACTGCAAGGATTCTTGGCTACTTACAAAAATGGACAGAAATGGATTACAAACCACGAGATCTGGAACCTTTATCTTAACAGGCGATACCAAAATATTCCACAGAAAGCCAGTCCCTGTGACAGACTCACGTAAGACTTCCTCAGCCCCATGGCAGAACACATGCCATGCCTTCATTTGTGAGCATCAGCTGTTACGGGTGACCCCACAGTGAATGCTACCACCGATGGTCAAAACCCATGATGGCTCCAGCTCAACATCATAATCAATGATATGACCCTTGCTTCCAAATTAAACTTGCTTTTTCCACTGTTAACAACAACAACAAAAGAGCATGAAAACATTTAATGGGTTCCTGCCGTTTGCTGGCCTGGATTATTACTTTAAAGGGTTTACAATATTCCCTTAAAACGAGCAAACTCTGTACAGAGGACAGAGCTTCCAGCAAGACCAACACAGGACTACTCTACCTGTTTCAGAAGAGACAAGTGAAAACCAGTCTTCCTAACTTTTCATTTACAATATAAGATTCATTTATCCAACCTTGAGTCTTTGCTGAAATATTACACACACAAAAATTAATATGCTAACAAAATATATTACGGTACTTCATCCTTCTCTTAGGAAAGGGATCTCTCACATAACACATGCCAACCTGATTGTCTATTCTCAGTTGCAAATGCCTGAGATGTTTGTCCCAGCCTGGTGACGAAGTCACTCTATTAACTTGGCTGTCACAAAACCAGTGTAGAATACAGAGCAAAGCCAGGCTTTCAGATTTAAAAAGCAAAACAAAAATTACAGACTGCAGGTTTTGCAGGAAGAAAGAGGACGGAGAGATACAAGGGAGAAAAATCATTCATGTTAAAAAAATACATATATATTCACAGAACATGAGCTGCATTCTAATAAGCCCTTTTGTAGAGATATTTATTATTAATAACTGATGTCTGTGTAAAGCAATGTTTGATTCAGGACTATTTCAGGTATATTAAATGAGTAATTTTCAAAGTGTGACTCATGACTGATTTGGTTTAAAGTGAAAATGGGAATAGCACTCTGATTATCTACACAGAGTTCAATCCAAAGTGATAATTCTGAAGTAACTTCAGACTAAAGAAGACTTTAAGAAAAGGCCGTGCAATCTTCTCATAAAAATGACACTATCGACATACGAAGTTTTAATAAAAAGTTATTGACTCAGTTGTTCCTATCTTTCTCCTACAGACCATGTATTTACTCTCTAAGCTTAATTCAACATTCATATACTGTTCTTAAAATTATACAGAAGGACAGCAGGGTTAGATTGGTTTTGCAGAACACTGAGGAGGAAAAGTCTGATATATTTTCCTTTTTTAAAAACTCTCACATCCTGTAGGTTATTCCATGACCTTAACAGAAAAGGTCTCCTTTAGATTCTCTTTACAATATGAATTAACTTTGGATTATAATTATTTCCAGATTTTAATTAATACTAGTTAACACATAATATTGAAATAAATATTACTGTAAATAATCTTCTCACAAAGTCTGATGAATATTCCCCAAGACCTTTTATTTGGAACTGGGAAAGCTGAGTCCCAGACAGAGCAGGCTGACATTGCGACAATGCTTCCTCTATGATGTTTCTTCCTCCCTCTACCAATAGAGCCCAGAATGCTTGAAAAATTAGTTAAGTTAGAATATTTTCGTAATATATAATGGATAACTGCAGAACTGGGAAGAAAATAAAACGAAACCAGAGCAAAGAGTTTAGGATTTTATACGTCAGTGTTTTATATATTTACAACTATGTTCTCGTTTGTTTTTATTTAGGATTTTATATGGTCGGTGACCGCTGTGACAATCGTTCAAGCAACATTTCTAGCCAACAGAATGTATCAGCAAAACTTCTTTTGCTGAAAAGATTAAGACTTCTACGAACCAGGTAAAATACACTGCCAAAGCATTTATTTTTGCTTTTATTTGACCAGCTGTGTCCAGAATCTGTGCCAGCATAGTCATGTTGACAGCAACTATGTGGTCACAAGAAGACTAGTATTTATTCTTCTCATATCACTATCCCCAAGACCGAATACTTCCTAAAAGATACAGACTTCCTGACCTTGACGTTTTGTAATGAAGATGCAAAATTAAGACGTTTCAGTCTTAGCCTCTGCAAAATACGAAAGCTAGCAGAGAAACTCACAAGCTGGTTTATTTGAATTACGTCATTTTTGTCTGCTGGGATCTCACATAGACAGATTCATTAAATTTTCTTCATTTCCCGCAGCAATTGCACTCCTCCTGCTGGGCAAGCAGAAGCAATGACCACAGTCTGTCTTTCTGACCGTGTATCAATGCTAAGAGCCAAGAACAGTATTTAGCAAATTTCTGCTCTAAGACCTGAAGCTTAAAGACTGTTATCACAACTGAAATAGCTTCCTCCATTACCTTTAAAGCTACCACCATTACCTTTGTATACCTAATTAAAAATGTTTCATTTTTTCTCTCTTAAACCCTTAAAAATAAACCCACAAGTTTTCCTTCAGAAGGAAATACTAGCATCCACACAACAATCATATTTTCGTAACACATTAAGCAGTACTGTGATAAAATTATTATTTCACAACAGCATGAAAAGCAATTCTAATTCTGAAGCTATTGTGTTACGTATTATTTCATATCCAAAGAATAAAAACTAAGATGACCGCCAAAAAAATCACAAGGATTTTTAATGAGTGGGAAGTAAGCTAATTCCAGATGGCTATTTAGAAAAAATTATGTTGTTTTTTTGAATCTGTGCTAAACACTAGCCCCTGTCAATTCAGAAAATGTAAGCTTTTGGTTACAGCCAAGATTTCAACACAGAATAATGCTTCCATGAGAGGCAGAAGGTACGGCAGCCTCTGGAATGCTGTGGTACATCAGCTTTAATTGATAAAAAGACTTAAAGAACCTTGCAGGATGCTTGCCTAAAAACCTAACTAAGTAAGTCTTTTCACTGATCTTCTTCATTTTATGTCAAAATTATGTACTTCTGACAAATTATTCTGTGGCACAAAGTTATATGGCCCCATACTCTCAGCAACACTTCAAAAAAAATCTGCTTAATGGGGCTGTGATGTCATCTTCCAGGCAGATATATTGCCTAGACACACAAAAACCTTGTTCTTCATTTTCTGTACTTCAGTGTCTGCCCCCCAATCCTGCAACTGAAAAACTGAGAAAGCTAAATGCTGTTGAGTGTAACACTAGACTTAACACAGGCCTGAACAGAGCAGTCCTGCTGTGTTTTTCTACACAGTGTAAACATATTTCTCTCGAGGGGGGCACAGAACGTTATTATATACAGTAACACAGACTCAGTTTTTGAAAGGAAGAAGTGTCATTTGAAGTGTCCACACATGCAAATTGATAAAGACATAAATCCCACAACTAAACTAAAACAGAAGTAAACAGAACAAAGTACTAATTTTTTTCCATGATTCTGTTTAAATTTAGGCAGCCAAACATGGGAATCTGACCCACTATTTAGGCAGCTACATTAAATTAGTTTAAAATAATTATTGTCTATGTATTCTGCCTCCTAAACCATCACATTTAAGGGTAGATATTAAAAGTAGGCCTCTCTCCAAAAGACTTGAAATTAACCCGGTTAAACCGTCAAGAACAAAGTTTTATACGTATTCGATTTTTGAACTATTATTAATAACTACGTGTTATTACACTTGTAGAGGTTGTAAACTGCCTGATGTAAACATGTTTTACATTTTCCTCTCTTGCACAGACCATCTCTAAGCAAATAATTTGGTTCTTTTTGTCCTGCTTTTAAAAAGCAAGGCTAATAAACAGAACTTGTGTTTTTTATCTAAAGACAACGTAGTCACCTAAAGTCAGAGTCTTCAGGGGGCTCTCTCAATAAAAAGGAAATATTCTACCATGGAACTACGCTATAAGAGTAGCACTGCCAATTTCATACAACGATTTTTATCTTTGGAAAATAACACTCCTCTAGAAGCACTGCAGCATTCAATCCAGTATTCAGATCAGTATCCCTGAGAAGCCTTCGGGCTTGAAACCTGCAAACCCTGTGCACGGGAATTCTGCAGAATACAGAAAGTATAAGACAACTCTGTCCAGAAATGGAGTAGGTTAACATAGTTTATAATTACAAAGAAGTTTACAAAGCTACTGAAACTAGAAGTAAAGGCATCTACGTTTAGTTACCTTTCAAAAATACTAACTTCTGAAAAACCCAACATGTAACATATCCATTTTAAAGGTTTGTTTCAGTTTACAGGGCAGTGCCTGTGGAAAGATGCTCCAAGCAGACAGCAAATTATTATCTTTTCCACATTTCTAGAGTCCTTTAAGCCTTTTAAAAGAAAATACTCATATAGATGAAAAAAATTAAAAATTAAATTCCTTTATAAGTGTAAGTAATTTTAAGAGAGATTTACAAAAATCCTCAGCTTCGGTACATTCCATATAATAAAAATTTGGTCTCTGTCAACTTGAATATAACACATTCATCAGATCTGGATGATCCAAGGACTATAACTTCCTACATTTTGAGTTCTCCTCTGACACATCACCTTCACACACGCTTTCTTGGGAACATTGCATCCAGTGCAGGCTGACATGGGGGCAAATAAGATGCTTGGAAAACTATCTCCCATCTTTTCACGAAGTTCAATATTCTTATGTTATACCATTTAGGATACAAAACAATATAAAAAGCTTAAGTTTTTTAACAAAGTGAAAAACAGGACTTGCCTTACCCAAAACCAAGGCCAGCCTCCAGCAGCCGTGGGAGATGGGTGTGACAACACCAGCAGAGAGTATGCTGGGGTGTCACATCAACAGAGAATAGAAAGTCTGCAGCACTTCAGCATTTGGAAATATCTCAACAAAACTCAGAGTATACTACCAATTTCTGGGATGGTCTTATTCTCTTCACCTAGGACATTTGGATTTGAGTATGTTTTAAATTTGTTTTCTTGTTCTTTCTCTTTAGTGCACTTGTGTTTGCTATAGTCCAGTACAAAGTGCATTTCAAATTTTGGTTAGAAGCTTTTATGTTTCTTTAAGAGCAAGAAGTCATAAAATTTTCTTCAAAAGAAAGTGTATCAGCTTTGCCATTCTACCACTTCCAAGCATTCAGCAACTTTCTAGCAAACCTCCTGAATATTCTGAACATTAAAGAAGAATGAGCACCAGACATAGAGACTTTACGAGTTCAATTCCATAATGGAAGAATTTCCACAACTTTTTACTCTATTCCAATATGTAAGTCCATATTCTGTTTGTGTGTTCAACTGTGTTTTGCTGACAACAAGATGCTGAAATATGATAAAAGGCATAGAGTCCAAGTAAAACAAACCAAACTTAATTGCTCTTTAACCCACATGACCTTTTCAAAGCAACACAAAATATTGCTTCAAAACCAATGTGCATTTTTCTCCTTTCAGAATGACTGTATGCTTTTTCTTGTTTATGTGGCAATATCAGCATTTTTAAATAGGGACTTAAGATAGGAAAAAATATACTCCGCATTATTCACTTCGGAGAAAGTAAAAAGAAATTTGAACACACCTAAAGTAGTCTTTCTTCCCAGTATTCACTAACCACTTCTAAAGGAACCTAACCGGTTCTGTCCTCCTTTCCTAGATTTCTAAGAAAACTAATGATGTGTATTTAACTCACAGAAACCATATAAGCTTTTAGAACGACATTTTGCTATTGACCATACATGGGTTTACTCACTTGTTAACATACATCTAGATGAACTCTTCACTGCCAGCAAGGGAGACAATGGAAACGTGTAGTAACTGGATACCCAAATAAACTACATTACAGTGCTGGCTATTTATTCACTTTGTAGATTAAACAGATTCTTACCCAGTTTTGTTTTTTCAGAGGCAAAAAGTAGTAGTAATGGCAGAAATCAAGTATCAGCGTATAGGAACTAAGGATCTGAGTGTAGAAACACAGTTGTAAAAACAGCCAATGATTGTCTTCACCAACACAATTATTAATCCTGCAGAGAAATAAAAGTACACATAAAGACAGAAATATAAAGACTCTAACACTGCAGTTATGATATTGTGAATAAGAGAATGTTATTATTATGGAGCAAATACAATAACTACTGACTAACCACTCCAATCTTAATCAAAGCGATGGTCTCTATGTTAGAGATGGCAGTTACTGTAAAAGGTGGTTTCCTTACACTTAAAGTGTAGGCTGCATCACTGAGGTCACTGCTTGGAATAGGAGGCACATTTCTCTGTATCTTCACACAGCAAAGACAGCCCTACAGTTTTAAGTAATATTCAAGTAACAAAATTATTTTTAAAAATCTTGAAAGTTTCACAGTAGTATGTATTATCTTCTGCTGCTCAACACATTCCACTGATTGTGAACCATGTAGAGTCCAAAACTCGATATGCAAGTGAATGGTTTGAAATAAACGTGATCACAGGGTATCCCAACAACAAAAATGCATGATTTAGGAAGAAGCCTAAGATACAGAAGACGCAACAAGGCATCTCTATTCAGAAATTCCTTCTGTGTATTCCAACAGAAAGGAGTCACAGGGATTCTAGAAATATTAAGTACAAGATTCAAAACCTTTGAAATCTAGGTCTGATCTGCTTCACTGAAGTTATATTGATGCAAAAAATGTGGTCAGAGTGCAGTTTCATACAGCACACACATCAGTACCAAGCTAAGCCATAATGAATAAAACACTATACCGGCACTATTTTCTGAAGTAGCGTTTGACAAAAAGGGTAGTTGGAAAAATGGTTAAATTGACATCAGAGTTCTGTCCTGCAGTTCATCACTGCTATCCTCCTGGAAACAATACATCAGAACCACTGACAACAAAGTTTCTTTTCATTTTAAGCTACAAACAACCAGTTTAAGTAGGGGTTAGTTCATTATGGTGGAAACCAGTTATAGAGCACTAAAATAAGCAATTTCACTACAAAATCAGAGAGGCTATGACGTGACAATAACATTTTCTACTCAACCCAGCCATTCAGTAAACTAAACGAAAAACTGTCTAAAAAACATGATCTAATCTCATTATCAAAAGCACCCACTCCTGTGTTGAAATTGTAATCTTTAATTTTAATCCAAGAAACATAAATATTGTCTAATTTCCCACTAAAAGAACTTTTTTTCAGCATCAGAAACTGAATTTCAATAAATGAAATAAATCTACAAAATAATTATAATGAGATCAGTTTTAGAAGTAAAAATTCCAATTTTATAAACATAGTATGTGAATTTTCCAAAACCATATGACATATAGCAATTTGACAAGGATTCAATATTACACTGTAACAGTTCTTACTATTAGACACAAGAAAGTCTCCAAGCTGTTCTTCCCCTACTCTAAGTGCCTAAATGATTAAGAATGGGAAACAAATACGAAAAATGAGCAAATGAACTTCCAAATGATTCACTAAAACAACAGTATATTGTGAGAACAAATTTCCTGGTTCTTACCATGGACAGTGGTGATCCATCCTCCTCACGCAATGCCCACAACGACTGCAATGGTGTGAACGCTTTGGTCTCATCATATTGCATTTGTTACACAATTCCCAATATTCTAGTTCTAGGTGAAAATGTAAAAATACAGATTAGACACATTTAAACTACAACACACTTGTGATAAATCTATGTGCTGGTGATTCAAGGAGGAAAAAAAAAATTCTTACTATGATCCGAGAAGAGTTAGAAGCACGTAAAATACTTTTTTCCCCACTGCCACCTTAATTAAACTGGAAGATATTACTGCCACACTGTGCCAGTTTTCTTCTCCAAAATCCTCTCTCCTCCTACATATTTCTAGGGAGTAATTATTATGGCACAAAAGCTGTCACATAATTCAATTATTTTCTTACACGTCTACTGTGAAAAAACGTATCTGCTAGACCGAAGCATTGTACAAGCTCCCTGCCATTCCAAAACCTCCTGAGTAATCAAAGCTAGTTAACTAAAATAAAGTACACACAATGAACACTTCAGGAGCATCTTCAATCTCAAAGCATTTTAAGTAATGCATCTCACAAAATGCTATTTTACCCATAAAGCAACCAGAGAACAGGTAGAGGATAGGCTCGTATTTAAAAATATACACTATTCTTGGATGCCCAATGTAAGATTCTTTAAGCTGATCTCCAGAGATACTGAGTAGCTGAAACTACCAGGAGCTAATATTGCGCAGTTTAGCTATTATTTATTTCAAATTGCCACACCCAAATTAGAGGAAGCCTTTGAAAATGAGAATTCAAATTACATACATTCAGAAAATTCCTCTTCACATGAGAAACAAATCACACCAACACTGCAATACTTCCGTTCACAAAATCATGTGTTTTCTGTCTTTAAGGAAAATAGGTGCAAAACTGAGAGTTCTAAATAATTTGACTGGTTGTTTATACTTAAATAAAACTTTTTTTTGTTTGTTTAATGTAAAGAAATTTCTTAAATCCCAGTGGGGAAAAAAAATAAGCTTCGCTTCTACAGTAGGACATTCTGAAATTTTATACAGTAAAGCATTGCCCTTATGTAAACAGAGTAAATTTAAATTTAGCACTTCTGAGCCACCTGCTGGCAGCTCTAATCTTGCCTTGCTGCAAAATAACATTTGGACACTGGAAGTAAAGAAGCCAAATATCTGAGATTATTACACAAGCAATAATGCCAGATGGAAACTGATTTACAATCTGTTCCCATAAATCCAGTGTCACAAAGGTGTCACTCCCTAATAAGGAAGCTACCAGCAGACTTAGGAATCACCCCAACCCAATTTTTTTAATACAATTTATACCATGTAAAAATGTATCTTCCTGTCAACCTAGAGAATGCCAAAGAACTGATGTGCTGCTTTAGGAAGTACAAAAGCTCTGGTGTAGCACACACCAAATCATAATATCATTGTCACAGTCAAGCCTAAGTGTTCCATCCTTAGAAGCATCAGTAAAGGATCACTGCCATATGAAACAAAAGAAGCATGAAGAGGTTGAGGACATATTTGAAGGGATCCTTTAAAAGAGAAATATTTGTGCACAAAAGAGATTCACAATGGTCCTCATATTTTGCAGGTAAATGAACATTCAGTCATAAATGTAATTGTCTGTAACTGTACTGAGTGTCTTCATGCTCCAGCTCGGGCTGCAGAATCCATGTCATTCTTCCTGCAGCACGAACTCTGACTGCAGAACCCATGCCTGAACCACCTTTCGTTTTACTGGACCAAAGGCTCAGTTACCAGGAACAGAAAGAACACTGACATGAAACTTTCTGTGATCAGTGTTTCCAATCTAAATCCCAGGGAGATATATCCCTTCCTGCTACTGGCTGCCGAGTTTGTGCACATCGTAACATCAGTGCTGAGGTTGAAAACATTTCCAAATACATCATCCCAGACTGTCACTAACATCAGGAAGAGAGAGCAAAATGTTACTGCTGGCATCCACCATGCTGCAAGACAAGACTGAAATATTCATCCTCACTGCATTTGATACATTTTCTACACTCAAAAAGTACTTTCTGTTAACGTGAGAACGCTCATGCCGTTTAACAGCCCTACTCCATTAAAAATTGCTACGTAAAAGCCCTATGCATTAGACAACCACCTTAACAGCATCAAACAGTTGAGAAAAATATTGGCTTTTGTTGTGAAGAATTATTAAGGTTTCAAATTTCCTCCAACTTCTTGAGCAGTAGATACCATACAGCAATTGTGGGATAAATTCACGAGGGCAGAAGGGAATTCTCAACATGTTAAGCTGCTACCCTATGGCAACGCAATGCAATTAGCATCATGCTTGTTTGGTTAACAGCCCACACGAACATAAGTCACCGAAAAAAAGTACAAAAAATGCACATGTAAAATCCAGAACAAGGGTACCTTCTATCACCACTCTCAATATCTTATAAATTTAGTCAGAAAAAAGCTGCAGAACTATAATGACAAACCACCTCTAAACATTTTTCATTAAATATTATCTAGTTAGAAATATATGCAGTATGTTTGAAAGCCTAGAATGCAAAGAAAAAAACAAAAATTCTCAGGGAAAGATTCCTTAGCAGAAGTTCCTACATAACTAAAGTTCAGATGGAATACAAGCTTTGAAAATGAAGTTTTGAGTCTACACATGGGAAAGCTCTACAAATTCACAAGTTAAAAACCATACCATACCACTTTAATTTCATTAACAATATAGGCTTCAAGCACAGACAGCTAATTATTTTGAGGACAGAAAATAAAAATAACTTTTATGCAATGATACAGAAAAATCTTAATGTACCTGTAATTGGTATCTTTGGGTTTTCAGGTAGCTTTCCTGGATCAGCTAGCGAGGCTCTTAGTAATGAAGCTATACAAAACAATGAGCAGAAGTAATAACCTGACAAAATAAATAAGCATTTGTTAGTCTTTTTCAGGTGTACAAAATATCTTCTACACACTGCATCACAAATACAGATATTCCAGTGCTGAGCTGGAAACTATTCAGCCTTCTCATTTAATTTCAGTACATTGTTGGTACTACACAGTCTACAATATTAAGTACTCCCCAGTCTTAAAAAGGAGGAGGAAAAGGTAGCAGTAAAAACTGTTTTGATAGCACCAGCAAGTTGCCACTATGAAAGTTCCTCCTGGCCTTATGAGATAAGCACCAATCACTCCACACCTCAAAGCCTCTATGTGAAAAGACATTCCCAGTGGTCCATCTTCACTTTAAAGTTGGTTCCAGTTATAATTCAAGCCTTTTCCCCACCAAAACCCCAGCAAAACAGCGTAACTTGTATTAGCTGACCTATCAGAGGACATATGATAAAACTAACAAAACTCAGTACTACCACCCCAAATTCTGACAAGCACTAAGAGTTGAGGGGCTGAAATCCTGTCAACAGGTTCTAGCTACAGGTTCTGAAGGCCATATTAATGCTTTTCCCCAGTTCCTACACAAACAAGTTTTACCTAACACCTCTGAAATGAATGAAGCGTCTCACCTTCTCAGAACACAAAAACGTAGGATGTGTCCCAGTACTCCTATCTTTCTCTTATCCTTCATGTGACCTTTCTCCTATATGTTAATGACTGCCCAGAGTTACTGCTTTTACTAGGAAAAAAGGCTAAGTTAAACTGACTTACACAAAATTGCCATAACTGAAATATGTCCCTCTTCGTAGTGAGGAAAAAGGATGACTTTTGGAATGAAGATTGTATTGTAGAGCCAGGCAAAGATAATCAGGCCCATGCAGCACCAACCCTGAGGGTCAACCACAAAGTGAATTCGTCGTCCCATTGAAGACAAAGAGGTAACAATCCGTCACAACCCAGGAAGAAAATATTATCCTAGAGAAACAATTAAAAAAAAAAAAGAGTAAATGAACTAGTACCATGCAACCTACATAGTTTCACATACATTCAAATAGGAAAAAAACCACAAAGCCTGTCAGCTGTTGGTTTAAGGAATTAAATTAAAACATACAGGCATTTCACATACACTGTTCAAGCACAAGGAAGATAAATATTTTATGATTTCATTAACTATTTATAACTCACTGAAAAGCAAAATTACCATCAAGATGCAAGTAAAAAAGTACCGTGGAAAACTATTAAGAAATAGGTAAAGCAAGCAACTGTCAGCAGCAAAAATATAAACATTAGAGAAAGGAAGCTTCCCATCAAAATAAAAAGGTTGCAAAGCAAACAAGGAATAAAGAAAATTATTTATGTTATACTAGGATTCACCCCACCTTCCTATCATACTCTCCCAACCACATTTCAAATTATTTTTTAAAAGCTTCTATGCTAAAATTTTCACAAGCTTTCCTAGTAATTTGCCCTTTCTTCCATGCATAAAAAACCTCCTTCGTGCCATTTACAGCAAACCAATAGAGAAAGGAACCATGCCGCCCAAATATCTTTCATGTAGATCTTGAAGAGGCATCGTACAATAGTAAGCTTTCTCACTGTTAATCACACTTAAAACATCAAGGTTTCCATTCTGACAGTTGAGTGTGCTGGGTTCTTTTTAGGTTTCGACTGAAGAAAAATCACGCAGCATGAACCTCAGAGCTTCATAAAAACGTAGCACTGGAAGCCGTAAGCACTATAGAGCAGAACCTTCAAGGGAAGGATTACTACTGTTACTCTTTGTCGGCTTGGCTTCACAGAATTATCTTAATACTGCAACACACACAAAAACCCCAAGCCTCTCTCCTACTCATGAGTTGCCCTGATTCCTGGGCTTCAGGGAACTTGTCCATTTCAGATAAACCTCCTTCCATTCTTTTTTCAGCTTGTTACACTAAAATTCCATTTTGTTTAACACCTCTGTTCCCAAGTATTTGTTTACTTGTTTCATGTCTGAGTATCCTTATTTATACTCAATTTCTCTGCTTAAAATTATCTAGAAATTTCATCTATCTTGTTCTCTTATTTTTCTAGATCTCTAATCAAAATCAGACCCAAATAAGCCATCCGACATTTTTCCACACTTCTCCTATGCACTGTTTATCATAACCCTTTGTTTGCTGTCTTCTAGTGCAACAGTGTCCCCATGCAAGTACAGCAGAGTATTAAGTGCTTGTTTTTATCCTAAAAAAGCATCAAATTTGCTAACATTTGTTTTATAAACCCATGTTACATACTGAATACAGCAACTGTGTCCTTAAAACAGTTCTTAAGTTCATGATAACCATAAAAAATATTTAGGCCTGTATTTACTATTATTTTTAAATTTTATTATATGTAAAATGCATGCACACTAGTCTGTGGTACACTGGGTATTAACATACCACACATGTATGTACACATGTACTGTCTGTAGACATATATACGATGTACTATACTCCTGAACCTGCCAGTTCTTGATGTGCCTTTGTTGTAAGTTAGCTTTGGTAACCACCAGGTTTATAACCAAAACCCATTTTATATCCTTCTAAGCGTGCACTGATGGATGATCTATCTCATCAAGCTGTAGGAGGAGGTCAACACCCTCCTGATGCTGAAAATGAGATGGAACAGATTCCTTTCAACACCCTGCAGCTACAGGAACCCCCACTGCACCAAGGAGATTCGGGCAAGCTTTAGCTTGTCAGGTGAGCCATGGAGATGCTGAGTCTGAGGAAGCCTGGGTGCTTGTGAGCTCTGGCACCAGGATGATGCTTCCTGCTCCGCTTGCAGCTCTGATTTACAGAGCTGGTTGTGAGCCCCAGCAGCAGGCAAAGACAGGAGCTCGATCCTTTGAAGCCTCTGAGCTGGCTTGTGCCCGACTCCTGTAGCAGTACAGGCAGGATTGGGCAAGGAACTGTGGCAGGAACCTCCCTGCTGCAAGGACAGAGGCATCTCTGTAGGCCCAAACTGTCACCTAGCAAGGCTTGCTGCTTGCCAGGAGCTTCAGTCCTGGATACCAGGGATGAGCTGTTACTGAGGCTGGTAGGAGTCCAGTCCTCAGACTATTATCCTCAGCTTCTCTTCCACATGGGCATGGCCAGGCGAGACCGGGAGTGTATCAAGCATGACCCCATGTCTCCCAGCACGACAGCCAGGGCCTGGAGACCAGGTGGTGTCTCTTTCTTTCTGCTAGTGAAGCTGAAGGACTTCAGGAGTAGACAGATCCCACAGGCCATCAAGTGGTTGTGCAGCTTGTGTCAAAAGCTGTAACTCAGCCTTTATATCCATAGGATCTTCTCTGGGGATCAAGAACATCAGGGAAGGCAGGATGACAGGATCCACCTGACACTGCATGCAGGAAAAGCACCTTTGTCAACAGGGTGGTGAACGTGCTAAAAGAAGGCTTAGGCTAGGAATGATGGGAGAGGGAGGTGGTAACCTACAATTGAGTGAGGAAGTGGTGGTCAGGGTTTGCAAGCAAAGGATGCAGGGGGATGCGTATGACAGAGATCTTATCAACAAAACAGAAGTGAAGTGGGGCCAGATCAAGTGTGTGCACACACATGATAGAGAAACACCACTTGGGTGTACTGAGATGGGGTTAGGAAAGCCAAAGTCTACCTGGAGTTGAATCTGGTGTGTGATATGAAGGTCAAAAGGGATGTCTTGTACAGGTACATGAGCAGCATAAGGAAGGCTAGGGGAAATGCGGGCCCATTGCTGAATGGGGCAGGTTACCTGGTGAAAGGCTACATACAGGGTCAAAGCACCTTCTTCACCTTGCGCTTTATGGGTAGGACCTGCTTTCTGGAATCCAAAGTTCTTAGAATTCAAAGTTCTAAGATGATGGGCAAAGTTCCAGAGGACTCAAGAACACATCAGTCCTGTTTTCAAAGACAAGAAGGAGGATCCAGGCAACTACAAGCTCGTTAGCCTCATCCTGATCCCTGGGAAGGTAGAGCAAATCGTCCTGCATACTGTTTCCAATGAACGACAAGAAGGTGACTGGGAGTAGTCAGCATGGGTTTATGAAGGGGAAATCAAGCAGACTGACAGAAACACAGAGGCCAAAAAAATAAGAGGCAGCTAGAAACACTGCGGACGGCTGAGGAATCCATCTGTTTTCCATCTTACCAGAGCAGAGGAGATTCCACGACTTCACAGCACTTCCTCAGAAGGGGAAATAACAGCTCAACAAGCAAAACGGAGAGATATAAGTACTGAAATACTTGTTTGCGAGTGACCTACTAAGTATCATTTGTGAGCGATAATCAGCGATAGAGACTCTGGAGAAAACAGTGAGAATGCTTCCAATGGAAATATATCCCAAATTTTTATAACTCAGCAAGTAACTTTTTCTTGCATAACATTATTCACTTTTAGAATTAAAATAACCCAAACCAAAACAAAACCACCCTCCCCATCCCCCCCCAAAAACCCCAAACCCCATATCTTTGATGGCACAATTCCACAATTCCACAGTTCCACAATTACATTGGAACTAGGCAAATAAATGCCCCATTCTCAAGAAAGGGAGATGTTTCATCATTGTTTTCTGCATATTTTACCCTAATTTATGGCCATTTTTTCTAAACAAACAACTCAAAGAATTTGAAAGCAAACAGTAGCTGTGGCGGTGAAAAGATTCAGATTTGCCAAACCGTGACTGAGTCTCTCCTACATAATCAAGAAATGTTCTTGCCTTTCCAAAAGCAACCCTTTTACTACAGGTTGCCTGAACAGCATTTTTCCTAACCCTTTTCTTTCTACCCAGTTCAATTAATGGTATCACAAACCCAGTATCTGGTCACTACAATCACCCACTATGACTTCTGATGTGACGTCCACTGAATAATGAGACCACAGAATGAGTCAGGCAGGGGCAGGCAGAAGGTCACTTCCCAGAAACGAGAAAGCTTTGCATTACCCAGAAATGTTATCAGGAGGCAGAGATTATTTTAATAGGCTCATTTAAAAGTAAAAAAAAAAAGGGGGGGAAAAAAAAAAGAAAAAAGATACCATTTTGCATCAAGACTGTCCCAAAGCATACTTAGAAAATCCTATTTCATAAATAAACCCAACATAAGCACTGCTCGATTTCTCATCCTAAGAAGCACGACCACCAGCACTGGTGACATCATGCTCCTTGCACTTTTACGGCTGTTATACTGAATAACTAGAAACCAAGCTCCTATCCATTCTGCCCCACTTCAGCCCTGGACTTCTACTTTGGTAAGAAAAATAAGACTTGTGAAATCTGTCTTCACAAACTTTTTTCACAAATGCATAAACAAGTTCAGAATGACACCGATCAATAATTCACAGTATTGTTAACTGTGAATAACAATTTTAAGACCCCATGCAAACCAAACAATACTCCATTCTATAAAATACACTTCTAAAGAGAGAAAACCACCACTTTCTAAAAAGACTTTAATCTAAGCAATTCAGAGAGAAAAAGGAACTGAGAGCAGAAACACAAGAAACACTTGCTATATTTGTGAGAGCCAAGGCAAGGCCATAACAATCACCAGCCTCTGCCAATTTGTGGATCCAGCTGTGGTTTTAGATCTGTGACTTTCCTGAAATCTTAAGAATTACAGCCAAAATTTACTGATCTAAATCTAAAAATACACTTCACAAAAAAAAAAAGTGGACTTGAACCAAAAATTAAATTACTTTCAACTGTGTTTTAAAGAAGCCACTTAGATGATGCTATCAAGTGTCAGAATAGAATCACCACTATGCCTTTTGCAGATCTTCCGTTGAACAAAACTAGTATCCGAGTAACTAGTCGATACAAGCAGCTGCATATTTTTGCCATGACAAAACCCCATGAACCTGGCATTGCAATGTGGTTTAGGCAATGGGTGGTGGTTAGTAGAAAGCGTGGCACTACCGAGT